AAAAGCTTTTAGATAAATGTTGGGCTCTAGTCAGAGAATCCATTGATCATGTTTCCAGATGTGAATACTGTAAAGCCCGTGGCTTTTTCTGTGAGCTGTGCAAAAAAGAAGACGTTCTCTTTCCATTTGAGATTGGCCGTATTTACCAATGTAGCGCTTGCCACTCTTGTTTCCATTTATATTGTTTTAACCATCAAGCCAACCAAAAATGCTCTAAATGCTCTAGAATTCAAGCCCGCCGTTCCCGTCACCAGCCAACTAAATTCAATAACAGTGATACTGGTAATGATAGTCTTCAAGAAGTTCCCGAACCCTTAGAAACTGAGGACCAGTCCGAACCATGTTCTCTGTCACCACCACCATCTTTATTAACTACTAACATTAAGTCCACAAACACTGTGGAATCGTGATAAAATCGCTGGATAATAGAAAATTTAAATAGCTTTCTTATAAATGAACCCTAATTATTTTATGTTTATTAACCGATTTCTAATGTATTCACTTTGATGGTCAGACGAGATGCTTACGCTTTTTTGGTTATCAAATTAAAGATGAAAGCTAAATTGTTAAAGTCTTAACAAAGCAATGGATCGCCGATTAAATAATTGCATTTTTTCTCGTCCTCTCAATAACTAAATTTTTTAAACAAAATAATCTGTGATCGTTTATTAATAATGATTATTAATTATAAATATTAATACAGTACTTACTTTAAAAAATTATCTTTCATTTTCCATTTCATTTTGATCGTGGATTTTGATTTACCGATTTGGTTAATCTTGTATTTCTAATTGGTATTATTACAATAATTTATTCAATATTTATCTCACAATATTTGTCAGTCATAGTAATCAAATGCAAAGATCAATAGATTTCTAATTTGACTCATCTGATTCAATCTGATCTAAAGATTATATTTAGGTAGATTATTTCGCTGTAAGACAAGCACTCGATACGAACTAGACATGATTTATATTGTACGTTATTTGACTGGATTAATTGAATAGATCTCATTTGAATTGTTTAAAATCTGGGCCGTTCAATAACATCACTAGAAAAGTCAAGGTGTACATAAACTTGCGTTATTTTTGATGAGAGATGAATGAAAAAAGAGGATTGTGATAATTTAAAATATGCAAATTTATCAAACAAATCCCAATGATGGTTAGATAATTTAAATTATTATATCTAATTTTGACTGCTCTCAAGCCTGCCAACATTTGATGACTAAATTGCTACATTTGTACTGATATCACAAAAGCCAAATAAAAATTTAGTTAATGTCAGTAGCAAACATTCGAAAGTTAAATTAGATCCAAACCACAACCATTATTATTAACAGTGTTTAATTAGAGATGTTTGCAGTTTGTGGAGCCTTAACAGTCCCGCTGCCTCTTTTCCTTAGCAGGCCTTTTTACAGTACAAAATTTCAATTCTTTATTGAAAACTGAATATCACGTTTACAATCAATGAAATTGTTGAATGACATAAAAAGCGTTGTGGATGATATCTTTGTAATGATGACAAGTAAACATAGATAGCAATGAATTAGTCATGTCAATACAGAGTGGAGTAATTGCTTTGCTGATTGTCCTAGATTAATCAGTTAGCTTGTCTGTGTTTACTTTTTCAGTGACACTGACTTCCGAAATAATTTCAATACTTAAATTTACTTCTAGATTTGGCGCAAAATCAGTACAACTTTCAATTTTTCATTCCGAAAGAGTAGTTTGAATGATCGAACTATTTGACGAGTTTAAACAATTGTAAATCTATCATGAATACAATTATTGGCTTCTGATTGAAATACAAGAATGTATTAGGTAACCCAAGTATGTTTTTAGACTTTTCTATGGACGCTTTAACATGGGCTATGGGAGCTTCAATGTTAAATCGCATTTTAATTGTATTCAAATAATTAAGTGATGGTAATGGTTGGAGACTCTTAATTTTAACACTAGATAATTTAGGATTCAAGCTTTCGATTGATATCAAATTTACTTGATTTTTCATAATTAATAATGAAAAATCTTTAATTAAATTTAATTGATGAAAAACGTGCAAAAGATTGATTCAAATAAATTGTAATTTAAATACATTGATTAATATTTCAAGCATTAAATTAAGTGCAAACTAGACCTGAGATATTGTTTAATTATAATTATAAAAATCACAATAATTAAATAAATTTTACTGTACCAACCAATCGTTCAAACAAAAGGTACCTGAAAAGTCTAAAAACATACTTGGCGACCTAATATATGTAAAATGTGACTCATAAATAAATGGTTCATCGATATCTTTTTCAGTTTCGTTTCGATATGAGAATCCTCCCCATGAATGGTGCAACACAAAATTGAATAAAATGTCATTTATTTCAACAAGAGAGGAATATAATGAGATTTTCCCACCTCCCAATTTTTCTTCATAAGGCCACTATTTTCAGTGATCATTAGAAGAGGGACAAAAAATAAACAAACAAAAAATGAACAATTGAAAGATGAAACAGAAATGAGCATGAATTTTAAATGTATATGTGTGATATGGTGAGTTAAATAATGAACAGTTTGAATTTAAAATAAACAAATTAATGTCGACAATCGTGACAG